CTACTTTTGTTAATTTATTTATCATTCAAAAGTAATAAACAAGCATTCAGAAATTTGTAAGTGAACTTTGTGTAGAATTAGTAATTATTTATTTATTTTTAGTTTAATTATAGTGTTCAAAAATCATAAATAAATTATTTTATTAATCCTTTGGATGCTAATTTACTTTAAAATCCCTTAATCAAATTATTTTTTTCAAATTTATAATATTAAGGTATTTTTAACTTTATAGAAATAACAATTATAGCACAAATAATTTTTAAGCATTCAAATGTCCATATACGCAATTTGTGAACCGCTATTGTAAAATATATAATTTTACCAAATATTTTTTACAAGCAGTAGTCGGTCAAAACAACTAATATTATCTGCTGGTCAAAACAACTAACAGCTATTGTCAAACAAGGCCTACCTCTTTATATTAATATTTTACCTTTTTTTTCTTTGATTTTATTTAGTTAAGGCTATTAACATTTTGGGTTATTTATATTTTATTTACTGGTTGGTTTACGGCTGGGCACGCGCAGCCTCTCCCAATTTAGTTGATAATTGAATAAAAATTTTGTGCGCTATAAATCTATAAAATTAGTCATTAGTATGTTCAACCAAAAGATATAGAAAATAATTAGAAATTAAAATAGGCGCTACGATTAAAATATGTCCACACAACCAAACAATTGCTCTGCATCGATCCCGATAACTTTATCAATTGCTTGGTGTCGATCTTTGATAGCAGTTTCGGTTGCAAAGTGGCCCAACCCATCCTGTGAGGGGCCACAAATTAAAAAAGAAAGCAAACTAATAAAAATAACAGTGTCCAGTATATGAATGACGAGAACATAACAAACGCGTGTTTTACCTGGGATGCACATTTTTGCACAGAATTGTTCTCTAAGACAGTGCCTGCAAGAAAATCCAATTAAAATTATAACGGATGTGCGAAAATAGTAGCATGAAAATACAAAAGTCAAATATTCTTACCATTCAAAATGTTCTTAATTGTACCTTGAGACTTCCACATGCTCTTCAAGTCAAATTCCTTCACACGCAAGTTTCCTCTGCAAGTAGTTAAACTACATAGCATGATAATAGAGATGATCAGTTATATTTTATTTTATAGAGACATTTTATAGAGACAGATAAATGACTCGACCACCTCAAGCTTCCTACCTGTAGTTGTAGTGATTGTGGCACACATGACGCTGCATTATACCTGCATACATATAGAATAGTCCGTTGAAGTACAAAATGTCACCCGACCCGAAGGCAATACAAAACACCACCAAGATTCATATTATCACATAATTGTGTGTAGCTTCAGCACTCTCAATGGCAACTTTATCATCTTTCTTTTTGTTTTTCCTTTCATTTGTTCCCTTTTTTCAATTATAAATATCACACAGTTACAATCCAGGTCTTCAGGCATGAGACAATTGGGGCTTTCAACTGGTGTTATCCGACAACTTCATATGCTTAAGCTACTTATAACACTCTGTTACCTAAGTCGAATGGAAGTACATAGGAGTTCATCAACAATAAATGCTGACATAAACATTCAATCTAAATTACCTCTTGTGAACTGAAATATTTTATTATAAATATCTAAAAAGAAATATCACTCACATCAAGAATCAAATGCCAAATCGATTGTGATATGAAATAAAAATCCATTCAAGTCCATAACAGTCAGGGCTAAGCAACAACCGCATAAGAAATAAAATTCATTTTCAAACACTATCAATAACGTCAACAAACAAAAATAGCACCAAAAGATAACACATAAACACCTCACCAACTGCACACCAAAGGAAATTAACTCTGCCCAGCTCAAACTTGACCTAGTCAGTGAGGTCAAATGTCTCGGGGGAGAGCTCAAATTTGTTATGGGCCAGAACTAACCAATTGATCATGATCCGATGAATTTTCTCGTTTATCGCGGATTGCGGGTCTATGTAGTTGTGAGTCAGACCCTCATTCTGCACCAAAAAGCAAGAAAAATAAAAATCACTAAGCAAGCAAATTGTATTATTTAAGCCCGAGTGTGAATTATTATCCTGTTGGGACCACACACTCGGGTATTACCCAGTTGGGGTTGTTTTAGTGTTGTGTCTTTGTGTTTGCTAGGGTATTATCCTTTTAGGGTCGGTTCTAGGCGGACTTTCGTCTTGTCCTCTCACTTTTATTCAGCTGGTGGCTGCGTTTTCAGCTGGTAGTTGTACTTTTGCACATTTGTGCCTTTATATAAAATTTCTATCGTTCCGAAAAAAAAAAAAATAGTATTATTTGAAAACATGAAAAGGATTCTTAAGCTAACTAAAGATGGTAGATTACCTCAGCTGATTTGTAGAACTTGTACATGTCCTCAACATATTCGACGACAGTCATATCATTATTCACATCCTCAGCACCTATATTTACAATTTTCTCTTGAGATTTTCTACTCATCCCACAAGCAGCATATAATATTTTTTGTTTTAAATTTATGTCCTGATGATGTCGTAATTTTTTATCCCATGGAAACTTCGTAATTCATCCTGAGAACATAAAAACTATGTTACTGAACTTGTTTCAGGGCTAAACGTCTTGGATTGTTATGCTTGTAAGCTCGTATATGCTTGTTTAGTGCCATTGAGTATAGCATTGGCGACAAAACATGCATATAGCACAAAAAGGGGTTTAACAAAACAAATCTGCTGGGGAACAAGAGAAAAAGAGCTAAATCGAAGGGTATGATACAAAAACTACATCAAAACAAAACACACGATGCAAAAATTAGAACATAAATTGTAGAAGTGCAATGATCTAACCATTGCGAAGGAGAATCAAGCACATATCTAGCCCTCGTTTGAAGGCGTCAACTTTCTCCATCTCATCTTGGAGCCTACTGGCGTAATCCTTGTGCTTTGGATCTTCTCGTACAGGCCGCGACTCCTCGAGACTCCCGAAGAACACATGTATGATGTTGGGTATTCTCGGACATCATAATCTTGGTAAGGTTAAATCTGGATATATTTGCGATGATGAATCTATAGTGCGAACTTCAAAAGATTATAATATGCCAACACAAACAAGCAACTGAAAAAATTGCACAAACAGCAGAAGAACATGATTGACAGGCCTTATAGTTTTTTTAACAACCAAGAATAACCAATAGAAAATGTATACCAATATACTTAACAAAATAATTTTAGAAATGTAACTTAATGAAAATGGTTACTAACTTGAAAATAATTCACGAACCTTATAGCTTCTATGATCCAGTTATACTGGACACTTGTGTTTTTTAGACGTGAGGTTAATTTCTTATACCCAACGTACTTAGTAAAAGTACAAAAGAAAAATGGAAGTGTGAAATGGAGATAAAAAGGAAGAGTTTCATTAAAAGAAGTGTCAGTTGGAGGCTTCTCAATTTTACACAATCAAGCGTTAGTCCAATTTTTCAATCACTTGTGGTTGTGGAGTACAAAAACAATAAGATAAGGAATTTTGGAAGTTTTTCTAATTAAAAATAAACATACAAAAATTCTTCAGGTTGTTCTCTGCTTGCAGAAGACTCCTGTTGCTTGGATTAAAAATAAGTAATATAAAAAACAAGAGATTCATGAACTAAGATAATAATGTAGAACAATATATCCATGTTTCATACATTTTCATGACGCCTGGTACTTTGAGCGGAAGTGGTTCTAGAGCCTCTCGTTGAATGATTTGCTTTTTGTTCCTAAAGTAGACTCCCTCGGGCGTAATTCGAAAGCAACTTTGTTGTTTGATTTTGTAGCATCCTTTCCATCGTTGCCCTTGCTCAAAGGTTTCCATCAATTTATATCAGGTTTAACAGATTTCTAATTTAATCCAATTCATTAATATACCTGACTGCAACTGTATGCACACCAAATTTTCTACTTCTTCATTTGATCTTTTTCCATCTTGTTCATGACTCATGAGTATAATCAAATTTGAAGATAAGTTCATCGAATATGGAAAGGGGCAAAAAAACAACACGAAATTTCTTAAATTCAAATCGTTTGATATACCTTAAGTTTGAGCCCTGGCGTGGCCGCCAGTGGTGGCGTACTTCGACATAGTTTTGCATAGAGGGAGCCGAGTGACAAAATTTGGAGGGAATGGATGGATGCGGCGGCAGAGCGAGCGGAGGACGTCGGGGATGCAACAAAAAACTATAAATGCTACCCAAGAGATGTTGAGTAACATAAGTTCGATTTATAGTGGTTCGGGCTCATTTGTAACAAATGATATAGCTCGGTGTCGCTTGTGGGCAGGACGAAAATTTTTGTTGAAGTTGGGGTAGGAGGCAAGGTCTGAAAAGAGAAGAGCTCCATAGGTTGGGTTTTAATATTGAAGACCAGAATGGATAACCTCTTGCTTCCATCTCCTTCTCGGTCGATGGCGTGTGCTTAAAAAACGGAAAAGCTGTTGTCATGTCACATATTGTCAGGGAGTGAATTTGTGAAAGATTTTTTGCATCGATGAGTGTAGAAATAAAATAAAATTGTTGCAAAACTTCGTGCAAAAGAAAAGGCTGAAAACTGTAATTGACTAAAATAACTTACAATGGCAAAACCGTAATAAAAATTGGACACTTGTCAATTTTTTAAGAGGCCAAAATCGGACACTTGTTGCCTCTAGAAGGCCACACACTTCTTCATATAGAGATAAGAGAGATTTATATTGTGTTTTGATTAAGGTTGCTAGCATGTGGGTGTGCAGATGCAGCGTTTACACACAAATTTTTGTGTGAGGTAAACAAAGCATGTCAATCGGTTATACTCTTTTTATTAAAAATAAATATTTTTATATATATAATTCTCGAATGTGCTAAGGTTAAATGGCAGATTCGTATACTTCAGGATCATATATGGCAAATTTTCATACTTTGTCATTTGGTTTTGATGGATTTTATTTTACTTTCAATCCAAAAATAACTAGTCATGCAATATCCATAAATATACGGATATTTATGATTTTTTTAAGAGCACTAATTATGTTACATTTCTTATTCTAGATGGGGTTTTATAAGGCAATTTTTTTCCCCCAATCTTTCTTTTTTACCCATATTTCTTTTAGAATTATAAAACATCTACTAACTTAAATATAAGTAGATTTAAAAGTTAATAATTTTTTTTATTTATTACCATTTTATATATATAGTATCAAACTAATCATGTCTTGATGGCTTAGTTTGACACCTATATTATACATACATAATAAATAAATATAATTATATTTATCTTTATAATAAAAATTAAATTAGTAATATAGATTTTTAAAAAAAGTATTTGGAAATTAAACAACTTTTTGTTGTTTTAATTTATTATTTTTAATATAAATTTCTTAACAAGCACTCGCGTAATACATAAGTATTGTGCTAGTTTATATATGAAATGTCATACTTTTTACTCATGTAGTTTTTAGATTATAATTTTTAAGTTTGAAAGTACGCATATATATTTAAAAGGTATGTTTGTAACCTACCTAAAATTCATTTATGTTTTGTTTGATGACATTTTCATTTCAATTAAGGTTGTTAGCTAATTTTTTGTTAAATTTACACACACACACATATATATATATATATATAGGGGATGGATCCAATGAGACCACTTCTTAAAATGAGTACGTGAGACTCAATCTTAGCCACTCATTTTGTCTAGATCAAAATCAATTAAAATATACATTAATTAAATAATAAAATAATTATTAATTGACTCCGGCATTGACCGTTGACTTTCGGCGTTGACCGTTGACTTCCGGCGAGAATCGTTGACTTCCGGTGTTGACCCGTTGTATTGACATAAATAACTTAGCGACAAAAGATACTCAACCTTGAGTGGTGTAGTGGTTGTATTGCTTGTCTTGCTTCCATGAGGTACCAGGTTCAAATCCTATGGGCTACAATTGTTTTATAAAAAAAGAATACAACTAACTAACTAACCTAGCACCAAAACATAACTAACCTAACAACAAAAGACAACTAAACTAGCAGCGACAAAGAAATAATCTAGCAACAAAAGACAATTAACCTAGCAACAAAAGACAACAAACCTAGCAACAAGAAAGAACTAACCTAGCAACACAAGACAACTAACATAGCAGCAAGAAAGACAACAAACCTAGCAACAAGAAAGAACTAACCTAGCAACACAAGACAACTAACATAGCAGCTACATAGCAGCAAGAAAGACAACAAACCTAGCAACAAGAAAGAACTAACCTAGCAACACAAGACAACTAACATAGCAGCAAGAAAGAACTAACCTAGCAACACAAGACAACTAACCACTAACCTAGCAACACCCCAAACGACCCAACCCGAGCTCTTGGTCCGATTACAGGCCCATCAGCCTGTGTAACGTGACCAACAAGCTCATTTCGAAGATTCTTAACGGCCGCCTTTCCCCTCTTCTCCCCTCTCTCATCTATCCGAACCAGAGTGGATTCGTCAAGGATCGGGTCATTAGTGATAACATACTTCTGGCCCAGGAGATGATCCATGACATCTCCCGAGCGGACTGGAAGCGGGCTCCAAATATCGCGCTGAAGCTAGACATGGCTAAGGCGTATGATAGGGTTGAGTGGCCGTTTCTTAGGGAGGCGTTGGCTAGGATGGGATTCCCTGAGCGTTGGATCAGCTTTGTGGAGGCGTGTGTAGAGCATTGCACGTTCTCGGTCCTGGTTAATGGCAGCCCCACCGATTTCTTTCCCTCCTCTAGAGGCCTTAGACAGGGCAACCCCCTTTCTCCTTCCCTCTTCGTTCTTGCGGCGGACTACCTTTCTCGCTGCCTTGACGGCTTCATCCGCGACTCTCCCCATATGACCTATAGCACCCGTGGCTATGGTCCTACCATCTCTCACCTCTCTTTTGCGGATGACATCATTATCTTCACCTGGGCGGATGATGATGGACTGGTCGAGCTTATGCACCTTTTGGCGCACTATGGCTCGGTCACCGGTCAGCTGGTCAGTGTGCAAAAGAGCACCTTCATCCTCTCATCTGCCACCGTGGCCAGGTGGGCCCAGCGGGTCCACGACATTACTGGCTTTGCGCGTGGCGACCTTCCCATTACCTACCTCGGGGTCCCTTTATATAAGGGCAACCTCACGAGAGCGCTCTTTGCGGGCGTCAGGCAGAGGATGGTCGACAGGATCTCTGGTTGGTCGCATAGATATCTTTCTTTCGGTGGTCGGCTAGTGCTGATCAAGAGCACTCTTAGCTCTCTTCCAATTCACTTGCTTATGGTCCTCGATCCCCCTAGGTCTACTCTTGACGAGCTTGACCAGATTATGGCTCGTTACTTCTGGGGGTATGAGGACGGGTCTGGGAGGGGGAGACGTACTCACTGGGTGAGTTGGGACTCTATCTGTTGCCCCCTCCCCGAGGGTGGACTTGGCATACTCCGCCTCAGGGACATTGTTACAGCTTTCTCATACAAGCTGTGGTGGCGCTTCAGGGAAGGAAAGTCGCTTTGGGCTCAGTACTGCCCTAGACGTGCCAACCACCCTTGTTGGGTCACGACTGTTGATCATGATAGCAGACAGTGGCGGCGCCTCACTAGGGTCGGGAGGCGAGCCCAGGATCACATCTTTTGGGTTTTGGGCGGGGTCGATGTCAGTGTCTGGGATGAGTGGTGGGTAGGTGATAGGCCGTTGTCTAGGGATAGGCAGGTGTCGCATTCCCCCTACCTGCTCGTGAGCGACCTCTGGACGGACGGGTCGTGGGATAGGGGGAAGCTTGATAGGGAGTTGGGGGCTGGTGCGGGTTTTAGCGAGCAGTTATTAGATCAGATCCAGCAGATCCCTATCTCGGGGGACGGTTCAGATAGCATGAGGTGGAGACTTACATC